CAGAGACTCTCATAGGTGTGTGAGAGAAAGCTTTATAATATCAAGAAGTAATTATATACCAAGCAGACATCCCAACCCAGGCCAGGTCAAGTCCGCTATTAGCCCATCTGTCCGATACTAGTCCATAAATTCCTCTTCAGACTCGCACAGCACATGCAATGTTGCCGAATGCAGGAAGATCACAGGCCAGTGGTGGATCCAGTGGTGGTGGAAGCATCTCAGCGCTGGCGTGGGTCTCCACGTGGCTCCTCCAGCTCCAGGGCTCTGACTGCCATTAGTGTAGATCCACGTGCCTGTCAGCAGGATTGTGTAGCAGGGAGAGAGTGTGTGTCCCCTCTCCAGGGAGGAAGGCAGGTGTTCCCAGAATCCTCAAGAGAAGGCCATGCCCACACGGAGGCCTTGGTTGTGACCTGACAGGCTAGATTCCACCCCTTGACTGAAGTTGACAGATGATGTAACTGCCAGCAGAGCGCGCGCGCGCGCGCGCACACACACACACAAACCAAACACTGCTATGGAGTCGATGCCGACTCACCGTGATCCTACAGGACAGGGTCGAACTGCCCCTGTGAGCTCCTGAGATTGTAACTCTTCACGGGTGGAGAAAACCCCAACTCTGTTGGGTGGAGGGGCAGGCGGTCTTGAACTGAGGACCTTGCTGGGAAGCCCACCGTTCTGTCCCCTGGTGTGCGGCTGCTTTTCCCGGCAGGGATCTCAGACATGTTCCATCCCGGCTCTTCTTTCCTGCTATGAGATTCTGTTCCTGCTTCCTGGACCGTTCCCTCGATACCCAGCGGAATGGTGCAACTGACCAGTCCCTTGATAGGAATCCCACACAGCCTATCAGCCTGCTCCCACCTCGTCACCTGTGGAGGGTGGCAGGGACCTAGGGTAGAAGAGCCGTACCAAGCTATCTCCCTTCATCACTAGGCCTGCCAGCCATTCTACAGGCGGAAGTGGAGGCCGTCTCTTCCCGTAAAGGACTGTGCAGTCTTGGGAACCCGGCTCAAAGGGAGAGGTAGGTCACGTTTGCAGACGCAGTTTGCCAGCCCTTTATTCCGCGGTACAGAAGACAAGTGAGTTTGACTCGCCAGCCTTTAGGTTCGTAGCACAAATCATTTGTGGCATCCAGACAGTCCCCTCCCAGATTCTTTCTGGAAGTTTCTATGGGGAAAGGCAGCTCTGCCCAGCCACTACCTCCTATTTGAGCGCATATCTTAAAAGTTCCAGCCACAGGAAGGCCTCAGGAGCTGGGCTCTGTGTCCAAACAGGCAGAGGAAAACAGGGGCAGACAATCCCTCCACCCAGCCAGAGAGAGCTGTGTGGTTTCCCTAGAGGACACAGCCAGGTGGGACACAGCCAACAACACACGCGCTGCTTTGGGGAGAAAGAGGCGGCTGTCTGTTCTCATTGGGATTTGCAGCCCTAGACAACCTAGTCCACAAACACAATTTTCCACAGCCTAATCAGGTAGGTAGTGACTGGAGTCTTGAAGGGTCAGCCATCTGAGGTGCAGCCACTGGCCTCTCCCCATCCTGAAGGAAAGACAGGGATAAGAACTGCAAGACACATGGAAAAAAATCAGTCCGATGGGTCAACGGACCATGCACGCATTGTCTCCACGACTCTGAGATCACAAGAACTAGGTGGTGCCCGGCTACCGCTGCCAACTGCTCTGAACAGGATCCCATTAGAAAGTCCTGGATAGAGTGGGAGAAAAAAAGATGGGCCAGAATTCTAAGTCATCAAAGGAGACCAGGTGAATGGCGCTGAATGATACGTGTAGAAGTTGTTGAATTGGAGAATGTTTTATTGTGTAGTTACGGCACGACTAAAAATGAGAATAATTACGACTAAAAATGAGAATAATTACGCTAATAACGACGAGTCCCAGGAAGGAGAAACGTTCTAAAGTTGATTGTGGTAAAGATGTACAACTCCTTCTTGATAGGACTGAACTACTGAATTGCATGGTGTATGGATGAGGTGCCAATAAAATTGCTTTTTGAAAAGAGAGAGAGAGACCCGACTTCCTGGTTGGAAGGAGCCATCAAAGCAACGTCCTTGATCTCCAGTCCTTGAAAGAGGTCTTGGGCAGCAGATGGGCTCTCTGCCATGTTTCCTTCGATCTGTCCACTGGTGCTGCCGTGAGCATGGATGGTGGATCCAAGCGAGGGAAAACCCTGCCCGACTTCAGCCGTTCCGTTTACATGATGCTACCCGTGGGGCCAGATGTGAGGACTCGGGTCTTCTTTACATTGCCTGTCTACCAACTCTCTAGTACGGTGTGGACGGTGATCGCGGCTCTTATGGGATGGACAGATCACCTATTTGCCATCGTTGCCTTTTACTCTCTGGTATCTCCCGGGTCGTCTTCTGGTTTGGTCACGTCGTACTGACTTCCCCTTGGCTGGGTTGCCTTTCCCTTCCCCCAAGTGAATGCATGTCTACCTACCGATCCACGTCAAGGGTTTGGTCTGACTTCGGTCCATGCCCCACGCTCCTGGAAGCAGCAGCCAAGAGACCAAAAGATGCATGGCCCTGGGTAGATCTGCTGCACGAGACCCCATGAGAGTGTTGAAGAGCAGGGGGTTCCTCTGAGGACTACGGTGCGCTGGACACAAGCCATGGTCTTCTCCAGTCGGTCCTGACCCACAGCAACCCCGTGCACAACAGACCAAAGCACCGCCCAGCCTGTGCCAGCCTCCCCATTGCCCGTGGTTGCAGCCACGTGTCCATCCATCCCCTTGAGGGCCAGCTACTCCCTTCCACAGAGATCCTGTGGGACTGCTGTCCTCTAAGGACTGCTCTGGGTGGGAATGCACTGTGGGCCAGTGGGTTGGGAGTTGTCTTTTGATTATTATTTTTTTCAGGTGTGAACAGGAAGAGTGAGTTTATTGAAGGGGGACACTTTGGAAAAGAAGTCCAAAGGGTCCTCGGCTCGTCTAAAAGACCCCAGTTATCTTAACGGGAGCAGCTCCCAAAGCACAGGCGTGATTTCCAGGCAGAGGGACCCAAATTGCACACGCCCCTTTCCCAGCTGAGACCAGAGAGGCTGCTCAGGCAGACCCCTTTCCTGAGCTCCAGACCCCCTCCAACTGGACCCCCAGAGTTCAAGGTGGCAGGCATGGGAGGGTCCCGGTCTCCCCACCTCCCCACCCCCCTCATCCAAGACCTGCCTGCCCTCTGAGGTACGAGATCGGCTGGAGAAATCTGCCAAAATAAAACCTACAAACCAGTCTCAGAGGACAAGCTGTTCCCGAAGCCCCAGCCCAGCCGGGCGGGACTTGGCAGGAGGCAGGGGGCAGGGAGCGGTCAGCTGCATCGCCTGGCAGGCTGGGCAGGACCAGGCCACCGGGCAGGGCTGGGGCTTGGCATGTGGCTGCCGCACCCCACCCACACTTGAGTTCGGGCCAGGGACATGGGGCGTTACCTAGGAGCCAGGGGGTGGCCAGGGCGAGGGCAGGGCTCCTCCTCCATCTTCCTTGGCACTGAGCACTCCACCCACCGTGTGGCGCTAAAGCGGCCCCTCCCGCCCTACAGGTGAAGGAACTCAGGTGCTCCACCCACCGTGTAGAAGGCCCTTGCTCCCGCCGTGGCAGGGATAAGGAATCGGAAGAAGGATTTCTTTTATGGTCCAATAATACCCCGAGGCAGACGGACCCACATGGAGCTTGTTGGCGCTCGAGGCTCTGCAGCCCGCCACAGGTTGTGGATGGATTTGGCAGGCAGGGCAGCCGGAGAAGGCCGCCACGTGTCTGGGTGCACACATGCGTAACGGCCAGGCAGATGTAGAGCCAGGAGGGCGGATTAGTTGTTGACCTAGAGACAGGAGCCCTGCTGGCACAGCGCTTACTGAGTTGGGCTGCCATCCGCACAGTCGACTGTTAGAAGGCACCCGCCACCCATGGGAGAAAGGCTGGGTGTTCTAGTCCTGTGAGAGCTTGGGGGGGGGGGGGGGGGGGGGGGGGGGGGGGGAGGACTGATGGAGTAGTGGGTGACTCCCTGGGCTGCCTGCTAATCACAGGTCAGCAGTTCTAAAACAGCGGCGCTTTGCCTGGGGAAGGTTGCTGTGAATTGCGAGTCTACAGCAGCAAGTTTGGGCGAGTTTTGTGTGGCCTTTAAATCTCTCCATAGAGCGGTTTACAAAAACTGCTTTCACGGGGCTCCTCGTTCTTGGGGTGTCAACATCCCTATCCTTGTCTTCCCTCCCGCCATCTTAGAACCTGCTCCTTCCCTTTCTCTTGTCCTCTCAGGTCCTGGTTAGGGGGCCCCAGACCGGCTCCTTCCACAGCCCACATGCCCTCCTGCACCCTAGGGGTACAGCTGTTAATTGCTTTAGTTCATTTGGCCCTTGGTGCCCTGGGGTCTGAGATCCCATCCAAGGGGTGGGGAAACAGAGGCACACAGCAGGAAGTAGGATGGACATCAGAGTGCACTATCCTTAAGCACTGAGCTGTCCTACCTCCCACCTCCAGAAAAACTGCTCGAGCCGTGCGCAGCAGGGCCAAACATCAGCCCCGGGGGGTCTGGGTTCAGCCAGAACCCAGCTACTGTTCAGGGGACCCCACAGAACGAGGTGCCCTTACCTCTCACTAAACTCCAAACTGGATGCCACTGGCCCAGTGCAATTCATGGTACCTTTGAACGGGGTTCTAAGGCTGTCGAACTTTGTGGGAGTAGACAGCCTCATCTTTCTTGCCCTGGAGCGGCTGGTGGGCATGACCCATCGACCTCACCATTACTTGGCAGGGCCAGCAAGGCTCCAGTCTGGTCCGGTGGGTAGATTGCGATGAGGGCTCAGCAGCTTCCGCCTTGGTCTCTGCAGACACTGACTCGAGAACTCCCAAGTCCCTGTGGGGGAACCCAGGCCAAGTCTCAGCAGGACTGTGTCCTACCAGTCCCAGCTGAGGGTCTTCCCTGAGGCCACGGTGGGTGGAACAGCGACAAGGCATCCCAGCCCCCATCACTGTGCGCACGGCAAACGTGGGAGTGCCTGGTCGTGTTTTTATGACTTTTATTAAATTTTACAAAACAGAATACAAAATTCTGGCCTTGACAGTTGGTGTAAAGGAAAACGTCTGAGCTGTGTCAGTTCACCTGGTACAATGGCGTTAAAGTGCTTGCATGTTCTCCCCCCTCCCCCGCTTTAAAAAACGTTTTGAAAATTGTCTTGGAACATGGCGACCTTGGAACAGAGGGCCCACCCCGCCCCACCGTAGCTGGTCTGTCACAGTTACACCTGGGGCAGTCCTACGGGCTGGGTGCCAACACCTGGAGCCAGTTGCTGTCTCCCCATCAACACCACACCTAGAGATACCAGCTGCCAGCCCAAGTCTGGAGTCTCAGAGCCTCACGGGCGCCTGCGATGGGCAAAGGTGTCCAGGTTTTGTTCCGATTACAAAAATGCTGAGAATCCCCCCCCCCCCCCAGTTGCAAAAGGCATGGAATCAAGGGTGGTTGAGAAATGGGGGCCTGGGAGGACGGGTGGCCGCTACTGCACCCCCCTCTGGGAAGCACAACAGGGAGTCTTTGGGAAGAAAACCAACCCAGTCCAGATCCAGGTGGGCGGACAGCCATGAAGGGGCCTTTGCTCCCCACTAGTGCCCATCATAGACAGCAACGATCGCACAAGACCCGGGAGGGGGTGGGGAGGCCCGGGAAGACGGGGTCCCACCCCACATCCCTTGCCTGCGGCTCCCACAGTCAAGTATTCTTCGAGAATGGGGAGGGGGGTCCACTGATGTTTTTAAAAAACCTAACTAAACACGAGGAGCAGTCCCGACGCAGCTCGGAACTATCCCCGCCCTGAGCAGACCTGGGGGCTGGGGGGGGCTTGGAGGGTGGCTGTGTGCCCCAGCTGACGACCCCCTCCTTGACAGGTGGACCCCATGTGCACGTGGGAAGGAAGCTCGTATTGCATAGTATTTCTCCGTCCAGGCGGGGGGTGGGGGTGGGGGGGTGTCCTGCTCCCCCACTCCGCTGGGTGGTGGGGAAGAGGGGCGGGCACAGGTGCAAGGCCAGCAGGGATGGGATGCTGCCCGGCAGGTCCTGGGTGCCCAAAGAGGGCTGAGGCTGGGGCAGTGGCAGCCGGTGTCCTAAAGGTGGGCTAGGGGTTCTGGCCCTAGCTCCCAGTCCTAGGGGGCTAAGGGCGACATCCCTGCCTGCCCCTACTGTGGTGGGAAGGGGCCCTGAGACAAGGACTCAGGTGCCTGGGGGCTGGGGAACCCCAGGTCAGCTGACCGGCACCTGGACTGCCTCCTCCTGGGCGGGGCCAGGTGAGGGCAGGGTAGGCTACCTGGACGGGGGTAGGGTCAGCAGGTGAGCGGCCAGCAGCAGCTGCAGTTTAAGGTCAAGAGCACAGGCCAGGCCTGGCCTCAAAGGAAGCGCTGGATTGTCAATTCTCAAAGGAACAAACAGGGTGGCCAAGGGGCAGGGGAGTGGGTGGGGGGGCAAGGGGCTGGTGGAGGGATCCCTGTGGGTGGTGTGCACCTTCCCCTTCAGACAGGGTGTCCCCTGTCCCCAACAAAGCCACCCCGGGTGTTCTGAGTCGAGGGGGCCCATCCAACCTGAAAAAGAGGAAGGGGGCCTCGGGGTTGGAGAGGGGGCGGCGCGTGGGCTGCCCTGGCTCCAGAAGGCTGGGCAGTCCTCCCCTCTTGAGGGGACAATGGGGGCAGGGGCAGGTGACCTCAGGCGGAGCCCAGCGCCTCTGTTCACAGTACAGGTGAGGGGACAGGGCAGGGCGAGGAGGACCTGCAATGCGCACACCCCTGTCCCAGGCGGCGCTTGCTTTGCTTTTAACACCATTAAAAATAGAAAAGGGAAGGGAGAGGGGGAGGGAAGAGAAAAAACGGAAGAAAAGGAACAAGCCCAACAGCAAAATGCTCATATAGAAAATGCCGCCCCTAGCCGAGCTCGGGGCCGGGGAGTCCTGCCCGGGCCACCACCGGCGGCGGCGGCGATAGCTTAAAAAAAAATCTGTTGATCTGGGTGGGAGTGGGGAGGGGCAGGGTTATGTACAGGGGCGGGGCAGGTGGGTGCTCACGCGCGGTCACCCACGAGGACCACGGGTGCAGTGCCCCGGGATAGGCTGGCCCTCTGGCGCCGCTGGGCCAGCTGTGACTGGGTGGGCGGCGACAGCTGCAGGCAGCGTGAGGTAGCTCGGATGAGGACGGGCCCGGCTTCGCCATCGGCGTCCTCCTCGCGCTGGGCCAGCTGCCGGTTCATGGCGATGGCCTCCGCAGCGAAGGAAGTCAGGTCTTTGGCACAGCTATTCCTGGAGTGGCAGAGGTGGGGGGGAGAGGCGGTCGTGGGGGCCTAGGCCAGGGAAAGGCGGATGCCCCCCAAAGTGCCTACTCATTAGCTGGCTGGGCAGGTTCCACCCTGCTCCACCCATCCCACAAAACAGCCTTACCTCTGCAGGACCATGGGCGTGGGCAGCGTGTTCTCTGGGGCGCACTGCAAAGACGGAAAGCGTGGCTGGCGGCGGCGGGGTTCCCCGGGCCCTCTCCCATTCCTGGAATTCTGCCTCCTCCCGGCCCCTAGCACACACGGCGCCCCATGGAGCCTGGCCCCTGGGCATGGCAGTGGGATGTGCTGTGTGCCCCCACTGCACTCCCTATTCACGGTGTGCCAGGAACTCCCAACGCTGCAGCGCGGCGTGGGAACCCCTCACACCTGCCGCGGTCCCCTCGGCCCCCCTACATGCCTCCCCAAGGATGCAGCAGAGCCCGCGCACTGCAGGGCACCTACAGCCCCCCTCCACCCGTCACTGCCAGCCCCTCGCTCACCCCCTGCACCCAGGGGTGCTGCAGGACCTGGGCGGCGCTCAGCCGCTGCTTGGCGTCCCGCACGAGGAGCTTGGAGATGAGGTCTTTGGCAGCGAAGGAGATGTGCGCCCAGTCCTTCTCTGGGAACTCGTACTTGCCCTCCTGGATGCGCTCAAACAGCATATTCTGCGAGGCAAGCGGCGGGGTCAGCGGCACTGCCCGCACATACCGGCGGACCCTTCGGTGCAGTGCCCTGGCCCGGAGCT